ACGTGCCTCTCACCCTGCACCCAGAGCCATATGTTAAACAAGGTCAGGATGGATCAGCAGCCAGATGCAAGGGATATCAGAAAATGGTTCAGTTGCAGAGATCCAGAGATGGGACTTGGATTTTTTTTCCACACAAATAATGGACTTTCGAGTTTGTGAAACGTGAGGCAAAAAGATCTCTCAACCAAAGAAACTGTCTAATTATATTTTCCAGAGAAAATGTACTTGAACAAACTTTTTTAAAGGATAGCCTTGCACTCCTATCAGACTTTGAAAAAAAATATGTTTTCTCAGCCAGAATCTGTGCAAAATACAGGCCTGTTTTCTGGGGCTGGATGCCCTATGCCTTGCATATACATGTCTTTGTTATGGTTTTAATAATCGTGCACTTGACAGTCTAGTCATTTTGAAAACAAAAATCCATTTTCGAATCATTGCTGGCTTATAAGGTTCTGTTTGCAGATGTTTGACTTAGAGGTGCACCCTGTGCAGATTGTTAATGACAAGACAGTTGTGTGGCACGACTGCATGCTTAATTATTGGGAAAGTACTCTCATTCTCAGTCACTTCGTCATTCATGGGAGTTTTGTGCTTGCCTTAGGAAGAAGAACCAACAACTCCTACTTTAGGAAGTACAAAATAAGTATTTTAGGGGAGAAAATCCTTTGTGACTGAAAAAAGAACAAGCCTCCTAATTTAATTACATACCAAAATGATAATACATTCACAAAAAAAAAAAGTTAACACACAGATTTCTGTTAACAAAATAGTTTACTAAAATATCATACATTGGTTAGATCAACATTCTTAGGTTCTATGCAAATAATGCAAACATTATCACATGGTATTTTATTAACATTACCCAGTATCCTGGACACATCCAAGAAGGATAACGTCCTTGCCAGATCCATGATAGACAGTTAGCCCTTGTATCCCATTCAGCTTTTACTAAGGCAAGTGTTTGATTGCAAAAGTCTTTCTCAAATTCTCAAAAAAAGAAAGGGCAAATGCCTCCTCATTAGTGTTGAATCAGGTATGTTTCATGGACACATTGGAAAATCCTAACCTAAGTTGAGATCAGGTTAACTGATGCTTAGAATTGCAAAAAATGTACTTATTTTTCTGTGTTCCAAAACTCATCTCGTGTTGGAAATATACTGTATCTATGCTGAAACACACTTAACCTCTCTAAGACATTGACAGTTCTGTTGATTCCTGCAGTCCTTGTTACTCAGTGAGAAGTGCTGGAGTAACTTTTCAGAGTAACTTTCTAAATCTATTCATAAAAAAGTTAATTTAATGATCTTCCTTCCCAAGAAACATAAAAATTCTAGATTTGTGCAGATAAATTGCTAACAATTTATCTCAGTTCTTGTATTAATCTATAAAAACCTAAAAAGAGATAAGTAGATGTACACTGCAGTATTTTGTTTGCTGTCTTAGTTATATTTCCAATCTTTCTCTGGTGGCCTTTCATAGGAAAATACACATAATTTGGCAAAAGGCTACTAAAGAGTTTTGATTGTATTAAAAGCCATGATCCATGGCCTAAGCAGCAAAAGCTAGTTTCATTTAGCTGATACATATAAACTGACAAGCTCAGTGGCTGCATTTGAATAAACAGATAAATTTGCCTTACATGCAACCAGTTAGTTTTCTTAAATCATCTTTTACAGCAGAATCATACTATACAACTAATTATTTATTACATTCTTATTCGAAGCAACATACTGAATAGGAAGGATTATGAAATCAATTTCTAATTTATGTGAGCTAACAGAAAATCATATGTCGAGAAAATTAATGTGCAGCAACCTGAAGTGTCCACTTTGGAAACTAATTTGCAATGAGAATGGGAACAAGCTACCTAAATCCATCACATTTCATTCTATACTGATTTTCTCCTTATTGCAGACTTAGTAGTGGCAAGGGAAATGTTTCAGTTAGGCCATTAAATGTGTAATAACATATATTTGGAGGGGACAAAATATTACAAATGCAGTAATTTGTAGGCATCCTGCAGAGGTTTCATAGAAATTTCAAATATGCTCCCTGGAAACAACATTTGTTTAAACACACCTGAGGACCTAATAACAAATGGCACAGTAACGATGAACTTAGCCCTGAAAATATAGGGATAGCTTCTGCAAATGTGATTAACACAGAGTAGCATCATCTTCCCTAATTAGTTAGCAACATTCCTGAACTAAAATAAAACCTGTAGACAAGAAAGCTAGCAGAGCCTGCCATCATAGGTAACATTTCTGCAATGATACAAGGCCACAATCTATTCAAGTAAGATGTATTTTAATGCTGCTCAACAGCAGACATCCCACAAAGCGGTCTCCTAATGGGAGACTTTATCCTTTGGCCACAAGCTCAGCCTGACAGAAGACCAGCAGCAGCACCACCCCAGGAGCCATGTGCCTCTTGAATCACAACACCAAGTGGAAGATAATAAGCCAACTCATCTGCCTAGCCAAAGGCTCTCTGGGATAGTTTGGTTGGACTGGTCCTGACAGCTGGCGCCAGGCACAGAGGTGGAAGTGAAGCACATGCTGCAGTGAACAGAAGGGATGAGAGATGCACAAGGGGCTCTAGGAGTATTTCTCTTGAGTACCAGAAGACGCCAGGGTAAACATTAAGCTGCACTGTCTACTCTACAAGCCTGGGAACTGAGAGAGACATGAAAGCATTCATTTGTACTTAATACTTTTCCTTAGAATAACAGAATCATTAAGGTTGGAAAAGACCTCTAAGATCATCTAGTCCAACTATCTACCACTAGTATTGCCCACTAAACCATGTCCCTCAGTGCCACATCTTTACATTTCTTGAACACCTCCAGGCACAGTGACTTCACTACCTCCCTGGGCAGCTTGTTCCAATGCCTCACCACTCCTTCTCTTTTTTCCTAATAACCAATCTGCACCTCCCCTGGCACAAGTTGAGGCCATTCACTCACCTCTAGGGATGGGACATCCACAGCTTCTCTGGACAGCCTGTTCCAGTGCCTCATCACACTCTTAGCAAGTAATTTCTTCCTTAAACCTATTATAAATCTCCCCTCTTTCGCATTAAAACTGTTATACCTTGTCCTATCACTACACTCCCTGATAAAGTGTCTATCCTCAGCTGCAGACCCTGTAGGCCCCCTTTAGGTAATGGAACACCACTATAAGGTTTCTCTGGAGCCTCCTCTTCTCCAGGTTGAACAAGCCCAGCTCCCTCAACCTTACTTCAGAGGAGAGGAACATCCTTTTGTCTCTGCCCTGGACCACCCTGCACAGCTCCATGTCCTTCTTATGCTGGGAGCCTCAGAACTGAATGCAGTAATTCCAGTAGTACAATAGCAAGCTTGCACCTTGGGTACAATAATGACAAACAATGAACAGCAAAGAAAAATGACATTTCTACAATTTACATGGAAATAATAATGACTTAAATGCTGCTGTTAGGCTTGTTCAGTCTAAGCCTTTGCACCTACTGAGGGCTGGAACAAAAGCAAACGTGCTATAACAGGGTTTTGAGTCCAAGAGTAGATATACCTCCAAGCTGGAGGTGCTTTTGGTTCAGCCTGGATGTATGTGCTAGAGGAAGGCAAACATCTCCTTTGCTACCTACCCAACCACCTGGTTAGCCATGTCCCTGCTGATACCATACACGTAGCACGTAGCATGTAGTTTTTCATTATCAGCTGCCAAAAAACAGTGCATGACTTTCATTTACTTTATGTCAGAAGAAAATGCACTCTCAACATCTATCAGGATGGGGCTTATTCCTGCTGAAAATATTCATCCTGCTCTTCAGGCACAGGGAAGTGAAAAAGGACACTTACACAATTGTCACTAAGATAAATAAAAAGAACAGAAATAAGAAAAATAAACAAAACCAAACTAACAGATTGTTGTATCACAATAATCCTAATTCAGAAATTCTATTAGAAAATACGTCATGGAAACCCTGAAAGACCAAAACATCTAATCACTCCTTGCTGTTTTTGTTGCTGGATCTTTCCATATGACTTCCTCAGAAAGTCTCAGGAAGGCTGACAGTACTTGCTTTTTCACCCATCCTAATTACCCATTAGTCCCCTAACTTTATTTGAGCCAGTGTCTCACCTCTCTTTCTGATCATTAGTTTTCCCTAATATTCAACCTGAACACCCTCCCATGCAACTTGAGGCCATTCTCTCTCATCCTATCACTGTTACTAACTAGGAAAAGAGGCCAACCTCTCCACAGCCTCCTTCCAGGTTGTCATAGGGAGTGATAAAGTGTCCCCTGAGCCTTCTCTTCTCAATACTGAATAATCACAGTTCCCTCAGTTGCTCCTCATAAGACTTGTATTCCAACTTCACATTTTTGCTACTTCTTTGATGGTAAAACTGATCTTTGTGTGCAATTCAATGAAATAGGAGTACTGCATAAGGCATGATTTTATGAACTCCTTATTCCCTTCCCAGAACCCAAATACATTTTCCACCATATCTGCTGTAAGGGTTCAACTCCTTATTTATGAAACCTTAAAATATCCTAAAGATGTTCTGAGTTTTTCTTGCTAATCATGCATGGCTGTTTATCTCCCTACAGTAAGGGATATTCTATGATGTACATAGAACAATGTACAGTGACAGAGCATTGGCACAGGTTGCCCAGAGAGGCTGTGGAGTCTCCTTCTTGGAGATCTTCAGAAGCTGCCTAGCACCTGTATAATCAAGGAATAGTTGGATGTTATAACTATGAAATAAACAAAGAGAGCTTAGCAAAACAAATTAGCAGATTATGATAACAAAAGGAGAATAAATAGAAAGCTTACCCCTATCCTAGGCTCACTTACAAAACTTCAGCAGAGCAGATCTCCAGAAGAGATCCTTCCCCCCTGGTAGCCAGCTCTTAAATGGGTCTAGGAGAGGTGCAGCCAGGCTCCACCCCTTCTGGCAGCACAGGTGAAGGCAATTTTTCCTTCTGGCAGCACAGGTGAAGGCAATTCACCTGTGCTCCTCCAGCTGACTCATTGCTCGTCTCAGGTGATCAATCAGATGTTCAGGCCGTGACTCAGTAGTTCCCATACAGCACCCAACCCTGAAAGTCCCTGCTGAAGCTAGGGTTGGGCCAGACGACCTCCAAAGTTCACTGCCAGCCTCAAACAGTCTGTGGTTGATCCTGTGATACAGATCCAGCTCTATCACACAATCATTTCCATTGAGAGGCACGCATAAGGAAATAGCGCAGTAGTCTTACACATTAATAAAGTGACTTCCTATACCTAAAGTTGTCCTGAAAGATCTTCATGGGCAAATTCTTCCACTTCAGAAAGAAAATCTGTGTAGGCTGAATGGGATATCTCTGCCACAACACAGTTCTGCAAGTGCATGGCTACAGTTCCCTAAGCCAGGAGGGGAACATCTTGACAGCTATAAGCAACTTTTCTTAAATGCCTGTCCAGATGGAAACACATGCAGTAATCTCTTAAGAGAGATCAGAAAGAGGGTGCAATTATTTTCTATAAATGAAAGTACCTTGTTGGTTTTTGTTCGTTTTTGCACCACAGAAATATTCCCTGTCCAGTAGCAGCATGATTTTGAGAGCTAGTCCATGGAGAAGGCACGTTTGTGGCCCCCTGTCTTCCAGAAAAAGGAAAAAAAAAACAAAACAGAAGTTGCTTATGTAGAGAAGGGATGGAAAGAGGTAGAAATGAATGGGAGAGAAAGATGTTACAATGCTCTGAGGCAGAAATGGGGACTAAAACCGTAAGACGTCTTCAACGGATCTAGAATTAATTGTGAGTTTTGCCGGGGCCCTGTAAATTCAAAGCATTTCAGTTTGTTAATTCAATCAGGGAAGGTGCTAGAGCACTCTCGCATGCTCTTCTGTCACTAAATGATTCCAGTAGCTCTGCTGTTCGGATAAGCTTACTTCATGGCAAGTCACAATTTTCTTAAAACGAGAAACAGAGAACGGAATCTTTTCTGGAAAAAATGTCTGTTCTGAATGAAGCTCCTCAGGCTGAATTTTTAATTTGTCAAGGCACAGTCCTATGAACACATCCTCCAGTTTGATGAATGAAATGCTCCCCGAAACATGATAGATCTGACTAGCAACATCGGTGGATAAAACATAGCCAGTCCCTGAACAAAATGGTGGGTAGGTGTTACCCGAGTATTCTTCTATCCTCACACTCCACTTGCTCTTTTTTTTCCTTATGGGTTTCTCATGCAGTTTCAGAAAGCCTGTGTAAAGCCCTGTTTTCCTCTTTTTCTTTAGAAGCAGCTCAGTGAGGTAAAAAACATTGACAAACACATCTGTGTCAGTTTTCATCACAAAGCTGGACTGGTTACAAAACTGGTGAACCCATTCAATTCCCATCATGGTCTTTAAAGTCAAATTGTAGTATGTGTCCATAAAATCCTTTTGAATAATGTCTTTGTATTTTTGGCTTTCAGCACTGATGTCAGCCTGCTGCCTAAGATTCACAGGGGTTCCCAAGAGGAAATATGTCACTAGATGCTTGCCAGCCACCGTTCTCTCCTTCCCCCAGGTTTGCCGGATGACCATCCTGGCATCGATGTCTTGACATGAGGATGCCACAAGTAGTACAAGGAAAGGTGGGTCCTTACGGCAATCTATATCTGGGAGCTGCAAGAAGTTTTCTTCAATTTTCCTAAATGTTTGTAGTGTACAATTTTGTTTTTTGCCATAGAATACAGACAGTCCGGTCAAATTCATGCAAAAATAACATAAGCTGCCACAGCTGAGCCCCACAAGGCAAACAAGCACCTTGATTTTTCTGAAATCCATCTGAAATAAACAAGAAAGAATGGCATATTTTAAATATTTTATTTCCTTTCAGTGCTGCATACAAAATTTACTGCGTAGGGTTTTAAAGCTAGATCATCCCTTTTGAAAGCTACCTGTCTCAGGGCATTTGCCCAAACACATTTTTCTGAGGATAAGATATGCTGCTGGCAGCCAAATTCTCACTTGTTCTTCCTTGAGCCTGCCCCCAAGACAGTATATCCTCAATTACTCACACAAGAGGGCTCACTGATACCAGGTCACCCTGGCTGATGCTTCACACTTCCGCATTACTTCCAGCATAGAATCATGGGATCACCAAGATTGGAGAAGACCTCCAATATCATCCACTCCAACCACCCACCTACCATCAACATTTCTCCACTAAGCATGTTACCTAGCATGCCTTTGACCCATCAGCAGTGACACTCATGCCAGGTGAGAGAAAATAACAGTAATACAAGTTTTAAATACCATATTTCTCCATTTATTTGAAAAATGTCTGGGTCCTGAAGACAGCAAGCCTTGGCCAATTAGCAGGCATAACCAACCAGGTTCCTCCAGTCTTCATCTCTTCATCGTGTTGGTCTCTTGCACAGATCCAGAAGTCGTTCCTGATCTTGCTGCTGGAGGGGCTATGAGTGGTATGTTTGACATTGGGCCAGCTGCTTGGAAAAAGAAGACAAAGCAGTGGGTCAGGTTACTGGAACATTTCTCTTTTTGCAGACTGTAAATGACTCACTAAGGCATGTTGACATGAAAAGGGAGTGGTCTGCACTTCTCTGTCTTTTAGAGGAAGGAGACCCAAAGAATAACAGCTCATTCATCTTTGTAACATATCAATGTGCTGCATACATGGTTGCAAGCCTAGTACAAATTGTAAGAGAGAGAAAAATAATGAAAGTAAAGCCAAATAGATCACAGTGCCAAAAAGAATTATATGCCTCCATAAATGAACTGAGAAAATTCCAATGGTTGAGTAACTAAGTACATGACCAAATGGCTCACCAGCTCCTCTTTCAGAGAACTAGAGTGAGAGAATTTTTACTGGGAGGAAAGCATTCGATTCCTCTTCTCCCACTTTATAACAGCAAATTTTATTTGGTTTCCCATAAACAAACAAACAAACAAACAACAACAACAACAAAAACAACAACCAACAAAACAAAACAAATCAAATGGAGCTGGGAAGACTCAGAGTTGTAGATTTCATGAAAATCTGATCTCTGTCTTCTGACCAGGAATGTTCTGCCTGGACTCTCCAAGCCACACCAGTGCTTTCCTCTCAAATGCAGACAGAGGCCTCCAACTTCTTTCCTTTTTACTCAATGAATAGGTTATGCGTTAAAGACTTAAATGCATTTTAACATTCAGTCAGTAAGTTCAACTCTACTTATCAACAGGAATGATCCCAGTAATTTTGGTAAGTACCCACAAAAACAAGATGAGTAGAATTGGAGTCCTAATTTGCTGAAATTCCTTCCACAGTGAAATGTATGTTTTTTTAAAGATTCAATAAGCATTTTTGAAAATACCTACCAAATTCATGTTTCTTCTGATATTTGCATTTAAATTATCTTTACATTGAATACTTCTCAGATCTGTATTTTTTCAACTATGCATAGCATACAGTAGTCTTACGATCATCTCAGTAACTGTTTTAAATGAATATACATGTAAATTTGCGTGAGAGTTTAGCTATAATAAAAAACATGCACATATAAACACATTTCTACATATGATGTTCTAAGAACAAGGAAACAACCCATCTTGTTCAAAATGGGTTAGCTCCTGTTACCAGCTTTCATGATGCTCCTGTTACATGCTTTCATGATGCTCAAGGATCTGCCATTGCTCCGTAGCAAGACTCCCAGCATATGTACACCCAGAAACCCTTCACACAAGCCATTCCCTTAATGGATGCCCATTGAAATTTCTTCAGAAACACTCCAACCCCTCTGCTAAAGCAGGTTCCCAACAGCAAGTCACTCAGGAAAGCATCCAGATGCTTCCTGAACACTTCCAGAGAAGGAGAATCCCCAACTTCTCTGAGCATGTTCTTCCAGTGCTCTGTCACCCTCACAGTAAAGAAGATCTTCCTCATGTATGTATGGAACTTCCTGTGTTGCAGTTTTCCCCACTGTCCCTGTCCTGCACATCACCGAATTCATAGAATGGCTTAGATTGGAAGGAACCTCAAAGCTCACCCAGCCCAAGCCCTGCTATGAGCAGGGCTGTCCCCCACCAGCTCAGGCTGACCAGGGCCCCATCCAACCTAGGGTGGATGGGATGCTCTTCCTCCTGTATTTACTAGGAAAATTGCTATTCTATAAAGAAGGGTTGGCGAACAACTGCTTCTGTCATGTTTAACTAGCAAAACATGTCCATGACTGCATTTTGCAGAACCATCACCATCCAGTCTAAAGCATCTTGTTCTACAGCACAGGTTAGGTGTGACAAGGGCTACAGTTTCTAAATTATCTGATTTTCCCTGTATTTTTTCTCCTTGGTCTGCATCTAACAAATAGTACAGCCTATGATTCAAGATTTCCAGCTTCTACATACTTATCTTCATGGAAGAGTCCTGGAGATGTTACAGTCTACAGAAGGTGGTCTAGAAAACAGTGTAGACTTAACAGTAATCAACCTCTTTTCTCTTGATTATTTTGAAGAGCACCCACTATTTTAGCATCAATATTTCTTATGTTTTATAGAAAATCCTTTGGCAGAACGCTTGCCCTGGTTTTGTCTGAGTTAATATTCTTCCCCTAGTAGGGGCTGGCTAGGTATCTGTCAGCAGGTGGTGAGCAACTGCATTATACATCACTTTATTTTGTTTGCTTTCATATTTTTTATTATTACTATTTTCCCATCTTTTTTTGTCCTATTAAACTGTTTTTATCTCAACCCATGATTTCTACCTGACTCATGGATAGTGACAGATGCTCTCTGGGGGTGGTAACAGCAATGGAAGCAAAAGAACTGGCAGCACAGAGGCAAACCGGTTTAGGCCACTGCAGAGTGGAAAGACATTGCTGTCTGGGTAGAGAATGTAGTTGTAAAAGTAAATCCCATGGATGCCCATGTACCACAAAGCTGAGCCACTGAGGAAAATCAAGACAACCAGCAGGTGGATTGAGCCACTAGGATTGAAGGTAAATCTGGACTGGCAACATAATAATTTCCAGTTCAGTGGGCCCATGAAACCTCAGGTCATCAAGAAAGGCCATCAACATATAGATGGGCTCAGGACTGAGGGATGGACTCTACTGTGGACACAGGACTCTACTGTGGGCACAGGCTATCCAAGAATGTAAAATATGCACTGTGATTAATCAAGCCAAGAAGATAAAGTCTCTTTGGCTCAGAGGACAGCAGCTGAAATATAAATATGGGGAAAACTAGCAGGTGGGTTACACCACACTCCCACAAATTCACCATGGCAAACACAATGTGCTTGCAATGGTGAAAGCCACCAAACAGTTGGAAACAGATCCCATGCCCCATGCCACTGCCCGAATACTATCCTGGGCCTTGAAAAGCAAGGCCTGTAGTGGCATGGCACTCTAGAAAGAACTGAGTCAAACAATGAGATCATTTCCAAAACAACCTCATAGAAACCTGGCTAAGACTGTTTAAGACTACACTAAGAGCAATGGGTGCTGGGACATTCAAGCACTGGGTTACACATTTACCAAAAAACTATCTGGTTAGATAACACTTAGGGATCTGTCAGTAGAGCTGGCCCTGCCCAATTAAAATATCTACATACTGCAGAAGAGAAAAAATCCCAGTGGTACATGTGGAAGTGCTGGGCAAGACAGTCTGGATTATTCCTGCCTCAGGCAAAGGCAAGCCCATTTGTGAGATTGCTTTTTCTCAAGGACATAGGTGTATTTGATGAGTAATGCAAAACGATGGTGAAGTCCAGTGTGTACCTCAAAGAAATTTGATGATGGGTGAAAACAGCCAATAATTTGAATTATATAATGCCAACTGCTATACAGTACTGTATATCATCACTTCTGTGGTTGTTGTATGCCTCATCAACAAGAATCACTCAAATTAATGAAAAAACAATTTTTATGTAACCAATCAAAGAACTGTGGTAATGGGAACCAGAAATGGCTTCAGCATGCAACGATCCAACATCACACACCACATCTCCTGCTCAGAAGGACCATGGTAATGGAGGGATCCCAAATTTATAGACTAAATAAACTCTATGGACATTTTAGAGAGAGAGCCCATAGACTAAGGGAATGATAATGGGAAAGTGTGGGATCTGATCATGACATAGATGGCATGGATACTGAAATGGTCTTGGCTGGGAGAGTTAATTTTCTTTCTAGTAGCAGTATGATGCTGTGTTTTGGATTTAGGATGAGAACAAAGGTGATAACCCACCATTGTTGTAGTTGTTGCTGAGCAGCGCCTACACAGAGCCAAGGACATTTCAGCTCCTCACGCTGACCTACCAACAAGGAGCTGAGGGTGCACAGGGAGCTGGGAGGGGACAGAACAAGGAAACTGACCTAAACTGGCAGAAGGGATGTCATGCTAAACAATAAAAGTGGGGGTTAGGTGTGGGGAGGAGGTACTGCCTGGGGACTGGCTGGGCATCTGTCAGTAGGTAGCAAGCAATTGCACTGTGCATCACTCACCTTTAATATTCTTTTATCATCATCATCATCATCATCATCATCATTATTTTCCTTCTCAGTCCTATTAAACTGTCATTATCTCAACTACAAATTTTATGTTTTTGCTGATTCTCTCCTCTATCCTACTGTGAGCGGAGTGAGCAAATGGCTGTGTGGTGCTGAGCTGCCTGCCGGGTTAAATCACAACACAGGTCTGAGTTTTCTCTTTGATTTGAGTCATGAATTGCGGTTTACAATTATCTCAAAGCTTTTTCTATTTCCTGTCACTTCAACTGCCAAGTATTTAATGTAGGGCATTGCAGAAAAATTACCTGTTTCATATCCTAGAGAGTGGTTTGTTTAACCTGCCCAGCAGAGTGTGTTAATGCTCTGTGTAGATCCAACGAAGTTTGTACTAAAGCCTGAGACCAGAGCAATGGGAGTCACAGCAGCCTGCAGTTGCACTGTCTCTTGACACATGCCTAAAATGAACAAGGAAGAAAAGAAGAAGATAACTGTAATGGAACTGTTGGGTCACAGTCTGAACCTCTGACTGACCACCTGAGGCAAGCACTGAGTCAGCTGCAGGAGCACAGGTGAAGGCAATTCAACCGTGTGATCGGAAGGGCTGGAGCTTGGCTCTACCTCTCCTAGATCCCATTTAAGGGCTGACAGCCACTAAGGAAGGATCTCCCTCTGGAGATTCCTCCTTGGGGAGTTGTTTGCAAGCCTACAACCCCCGGTGAGTACTTTCCACTTATCTTTGATTATCTTTTCCAACATGATAATCTTACTAAGCCTAATTGCTCTGCATACTTACTGATCATCAAATACTTTACAACGTCTGTATACTTATTGATCTTACAATAACATAGGTCTGTATCACGTTAGACAAACCACAGTCCTCATAGGCTGAAGGATCAGCCCTTTGTTGGAGCACCAGAAGCGGCTTCTTGTCAGAGTGATCTAGAAAGCAGCAAAAGGAAACCTTTGAGCTTGCCAGAACTCACCAAGACCACCTCCTTAAATTTCATTCCTTTCAGCAAACAAGGAGAATGAGAGAATTTATTTGCCATCTTTGCTGTGCCAGGAGGCCTCCCAAGCACCATGACAGTATGCCATGGTGGGTAAATTTGCTAGAGACTCTGCTTACAACACTGACCTTTGTTAAACTTCTTTATGTTGCACTGTGAATGGGTCACGTTAACTCATTTGACTGAGCCTAGTTATTCCATCAAAGTTAATAACACCTTCTTTAGATCTGTTAATGAGTATAATTATTTAAACAGTACCAAGAGATCAAGGTTACACAGCATAGGGATCAGGAAAAGCAATATGGCTTGCAGCAGAGAAGGTAAGTAGGTCTAGAGTCCCCATGAGAAAAAGATTAAAAACAAAAATTTAAAGAAATAAAGTTTGCTTAATTTTTCTGGGTCGAAGTTACAGTCACACTGCTGAGTTTGGTGAATGATGAAGTGTTAGATTCTCGTTCATGTCGCACATGTTGAACAGTGAAGGAACCAAAGCACAACATGTCCAAAGCACATCTGGCTATCAGCAGGAGTTGCCACTTTGTACAAGAGAGAGGCAAGCAGTTGCTATCACCACTTGCACACCCAAAAGCACGGGTGTGATTTAAACATGCAAAGAGGAGTAGAAGCCTCAGGCACCGCATAGCTAAAGACAGCAGAGGTATTTCAAACTGCCTTTCTTAAGAGCCAAAAGTAGTATGTGCCCTGGCGTAACCACTACTAATACTTGTTAATTTTTTATTTCCCCTGGAACAAAGCCTTTAAACTGCATTCACAGAAGCTTGGCAGGACACAGAGAGGGACTGAATATACTTAGATAATTTAACATATCAGAAAATAATGTTCCTAAACACAAGCATTTTAGGAGAGCAGGGGTCACCTTCAATCTCTCAAAGGTGAAAACTGCGAAAACAGAGGGCTCAGCAGTAGCTGGGTCAACACTGCTAGGGAAGGAAAAATTGTCCCCCGCTGGGCGGCCAGGTTTCTCTCTTTGATCATTGTCATCCAGCCCAACTGACTTCTGTTCAAAATAAAACATTGTCCTCGGACACCTGGCCCTACCGTGCTCCCTTGGAGTGCTGGCTGAGTCCTGCCTCTTTGCTTGGTGCCCACATACACAGGGCCACCTATGATAGGTGAGTCAGGCCACGATGCCATCTCAACCACAGGAACTCAGTGTGGATAGCAGCCGAGGTGGTGGGGCTAAATTTCATCTTCACAGCGCTTTAGAATGTCTCTTTTCAACTCAGAGGATACCATGCACAGCAGCACGTATTAACAATGTCCTCATCCAAAGTGAATGTCAAGACTGGAAGGCAAGGAGGATGGGAAACTGGATAAAGAACAGGGAGAAAGTGTTGTCTTCTGGTCTTTCTGTTGGATCATAAGAAGGCTTTTCCTCCCTGATACCTCTCACCAATGTCAGGATTCTCTCCTTTTGTCAGTTGATTAGCAAGTCTAAGCAAGATATTGTTCTACTGCTTCATACTTGCCAGTTTCTGTCAAGGAAGTACTGACTTGCTAGGCACTTTATTTAATACTGAGGATGTTGGTTAGTTGAATGGGTGCGTTTTTTTATTTGTTTTCACATGCAGCAATATTTTACTCCCATTATTCCGGGATTGTCACCAGGACAAGATACAGGCCACGTGAACAAGACTTGTGGACTCTGTCCCACCCCTCCAAGGAATGCTTTTCTCTATTATTTTTAAATGGAAAAACATTTAAAGAAAATATTGGCTTTTCCATGCGGGGCAGATGGCACTGCAGGTTAAACAGCCTGAGGGACAAGGAAGCAGATAGCTGTGCACTTCGTGTTTTGAAAGCACATCAACCTCAGGGCTGCTCCCCAGCAGACCCTGGGCCTCCATTTTGGGTCATATATGGGGAGAGGGGCCTGAGAAGGGAAGATGTTAATATTTAAGATAAACCTCAGGACCTCCAGAAAGACAAAAGCAATTTATGAACAAGGAAATGGTACCGGGCAGTGATTAGTGAATTCACTAGCAGCCACAGAAAAGACCTGCTGCACAACCAGGAGGAGAGCCCAGGCCTCCTGAGCTGCTGCGGTGAGGTTTCAGCTGGGCATCCTTTCTGAAAAAGGACCCGGGGTGGGAAGCTGTGCTGCCAAGGCCTTCAGAGAGTCACCAACGTCCCCAACCTTGCCCATCCAAAACATCCCCCTGTTCTGTAAATTATCGGCTACACTACACTATGGCTGCCTCTAAGCTGAGTGGTTAAGTTGATAGGACACAAGGACCCAGACAATTTTGAAAAGAGGGCCCACGTGAACCTAATGAAGTTCAACAAGTCCGAGTGCAAGGCACCACTTTGGATTGAGGCAACCCCAGATACGTGTACAGACTGAGAGAAGAACTTGAGAGCAGCCCTGTAGAGAAGGACTCGAGGCTTCTGGGGGTGAAAAGCTGGATGGGTACTTTTGCAGCTCAGAAGGCCAACTGTACCCTGGGCTGCATCACAGGAGGGGTGGGCAGTAGGGAGAGGGAAGGGATTGTCTCCCTCTGCCCTGCCCTTGTGAGGCTCAACCTGGAGTACTGCGTCCAGGCCTGGGGCCATCAGCACAAGGAGTGGAGATGTTGGAGTGGGTCCGCAGGAAGACAAGAGCATGTTCAGAGGGCTGGAGCACCTTTCCTGTGTAAAAAGGTCAAGTGGTCTGGGCTTGTTTATCTTGCAGAAGGCTCCTGGGGGACCTCATTGTGTCCCTCCAGTACTTAAGAAAAGCGTATAGACAGGAAGACCAACTTTTTACACAGTCTGATAGTGATGGCATAAGGGGAAATGTTTTTAAACTAAAAGAGAAGATAGATAAATGTTAGGAGGAAATTCTTTACAGAGAGTGGTGAGGTGCTGGAACCAGCTGTCCAGAGAGGATAGCACTGGTTTCATTTATTTCTTTGGATTTTAATAATAAACACCTTTTTTTTTTTTCTTTAAAACTGAACAGAAGAAACTAGTCCAGCTTTGAAGAATTTAATAGTTCTTGACAAAAAAATAGATTTGAAAGTTACGTTAAATTCTAGATTAATGCTCATACTGAGGAAATCCTAGACATATGGAATCTGCATTCAGATATGTGCATACAACTGTATCTTTAAGCAGCACAATCAACACAGCCTCAACACTCATTACAGTTGTAATATGCAGTAATAAGCAGAGAAATTTTTCTTGTAAAAATCAAAGAAAATCCATGGCCAAAGTTCAATAATGGAGGAATATCTCTGAAAAATTACACTAGCTTGCTCTAGATCTCCTATGGTTGTGCTGCAGCACAGGCAGTTTTAGAATAGGCATCTGCAGTCCTTTATCTCTTCTTATCTTTCGACAGTTCACACCACTTCCTTCTCTGAATGATGGTTTTAGTACCATATAAGGCAACATAACAGCTTAATTATCCCTTTCTCCCTCTAACCCCAGCTTTTATTGCTGAGCATGACAACCCATGGTACAAGACAGTCAGGGTCAGCTGTCCTGGTTCTGTACCCTCCCAGTTTCTGGTGTGCCCTCAGCTCCTCCCTGGCAAGTAGTGTGAGGAGCTGAAATATCCTTGGCTCTGCATAGGCACTGCACAGCAACAACTACAACAGTGATCAGTGTATGATCATAACTATTTTCATCAAAAATCCCAAACATGGCATCATACGAGCCTCTAGGAAGAAAATTAACCCAATCTGTCACCTGAGGCCAGTGCTTTTCCCCCTTCAGGAGGATATTGGGACAGCCTTACTAAATGCGCAGTCCCAGCAAGCACCTAGCCAAGGTCCTGCCTCATGACAGGGGCAGATGGTGGCTCCTTCATTGTGCTGCCTCCTTGCCCTCACACAACCTTCACTCTTCTTAGCAGTCCTTTTTTCCAACTATCAGTCTAAAAACCTTTGCTTTCTGTCTCTGTGCTCCCTTCACCTCCCTTATACCAAATGTTGCTTTCTGGAATTCTCTTCAATACCAGTGGACTCTCTTCCTCCAATCCCCCAATCTTCAGTTTACCTCTGATGCTAATGAGCGTTTTTAATTTTATTTTTTTCCCAACACCTCATGAATTGGTGAGCATAATGCAATTACTGTTTTATTTGCTGATCATACCAAAGGTAGGGGGCTGTCCACTATTGGATGCACCCATTGTGCGGCCTCCCCCAGTACAATCCAATGTCATTCAGGGTCCTGAACAGTAAAACCAAACTCAGAGCCACCCTCTTACCCTCACAGCAAAATAAAGCAACGAGGACAATTCTTCCTTCTTCCTTCAGCTCCTACTGTTACTGCTATGGCTCCAAAAGCCCAGTTTACTTATCTGCAGGAGCACTGTGCTTCAAAAATTATGCAGATGAGTTTGTGCCACCCCCAAAGAAATTACTTAAGAGTCATAAAATCACAGAACATCCTGAGTTGGAAGGCACCCATAAGGGCCACTAAGTCCTTCTCCTGGCTCCACATAGCTCCACCCAAAATCAAATTCTGTATCTCAGAGTGTTGTTCAGATGCTTTTTTCACCTTTCTTGCACCCTTATTTATAAGCAGTCCTACAGCTGGGTTTTTCATCACAATGAAAAAGCAAAATAAAACTGAAAATGATATTTGAGGCAGGACAAAGCTTGCTCTTCTCCCCCTCAGAAGCAATCTCAAGATACAGGGAGAAGGAAGGAAAAGAGCAATGTGGAGAAGAGGTAATTATGCAGACTGTAAAAAAATGTCCGAACCAAGAAAAATTACCAACAAAGGCATTCCAGTGTCATTGAAATTTTTCACACAGTGCTTCGCCGCCCAGCCACTGCCACTGTGGGATGAGGACTTGTCAGGACATTGCACTTGAGATGTGGGTTTCTTTCTCCTATTTTCACTAGAAGCAGCACTTGCACAGAGTAGGTGAGCCTAGTGCTTGTGCCTTTCTCTGCCCATTCCTTTCACGCTCCCTCTTGGCATCATTGTCAGTTTAGTGTTTGGAGCTTCATTTTTCCCTTATCAACATAACATTTGCATTTACATGTCTACCAAAAAGGCAAGCCAGTATTTTGGAAGTTAACAATTTAGGGCAACATATGGTTCCCCCCAACAGTTCCCATTACCCTATAGCTCTCACCACACTACGGTTCCTGCCCAAGGCATAAGCAGCTCAGGAGCAGCAGCTCATGCCCTCTCCTTGCTCCAGCCGTCTCCAAAAACCAACCCAGGGGTTCAGCACCCAGCTCCCCCTTTTGGCTGGTGGGATGAAAGCACAGAGCAGAGGGACTAAACCCTGCCGCGAGGTGTTCATGGCAGGAAATCCTCCGTAAATAAATATTTGGCTTGCAACTGCTGACTGTACGTATTTGCGGCACCAAGCCCAGTGGCTGCTTCCTTTAATTATTTGTCTCTACCTCGTGGATCCCCTGATTTTTAAGAATTTTCTCCCAGCTCTCAACAAAAGCATGGGACAGCCAAACCTTGCTCCCCGTCCTCCCAAACTCAACTCAAGCTCTGCAGCTGGGGGCAGGTTCATGGGCAGCCAGAATGTGCTAAAATGTACTAAACCACAGCCTAAATGGCCCGGTATGTGAGATCTCTTACAGCTGTCCCACCAGCCCAGGTGCCCCTTGTGCCAGGGCGCACCTCCTGCTCGTTTTACTGCAGGATGGATGCTTCAATCTCGAGCCTTCAGATGAACTCGCCGTCAGCTGGGGACATCACAGGTAGCTCGTTTTGCACTTTGACTCGACGCTTCAAAGCCATCAGGTCCGTGCCCACCGCCCTTTTTTCTGTTGTTCTCCCAACCAAAAGCCCACCAGGTTCGGGGATCCCCATCTTCAGTGCACGAACGAGATCCCCGGACATGGCCGTACCTGCACCGGGTGAGCCGCGCTCCTTCCCTCACACGCTCGTGGCACATCCTCGGGCTCGTAGGGCCGTGCTGCGGTGAATGCGGGGGACGGCGCTGCCTGCGGTGTCCCGGCCCTTCCCCGAGCAGTTCCACTATCCCATCGTACGTGGCCGCCTCCGGCACCGCGTGGGCTGCGGGCGAGCCCGGGGACGGCACTGATGCGGCTGCGGTAACTCGAGCTCTCTGCCTGTCTCATTCCCTCCCTCTTCTCCTCCTGCTCCTCCTCCTCCCTCTCCCTCCCTTCCTCTCTCCGTCCGTCCCTCCTATCCGTAACAGCCTCTTGTTGACACTGCAGTGGGAGCCGGTGGGGAAAGGAAAGTTAGGAACTGTCCTAGCAGAGGGCTTTACGTTGCTTCTGAGGAGGAGACGACGTTCCTTCAGCCCTGTTAACGGAGCTGCTCATCCTGCAGAGCGCAGCCGAACCTTTGCGGTGCTGGGAAGTTAGGCTCTGCGCACTCGGTTAAAGGCGATGCTGCTTGGTGAACGCTCCGCGCTGTGAGTTTCTCTCTACGAAGAGGAACAACCTCTGTGCAAGGAGCAAGGGGCACACCGCATCTGTCCCAGCTCCCCTTCCCCATCACTGTCCTCTGTGCTCCATCTCACCCCACTCCTCGTGCCCCTGGTGAGTGGGAGAGATGGGGACTGCCAGCTCTGTATGGGCACACACCCCCAGGCGGTGGTAGTCCATAACTGGAAGTTTCACATGACAGCAGTAATTGAAGCAAATGTAAATAGTTTTCACTCCTACTGGCTGCAAGCTCTTAGGAACATGTACTTCCAGAAGGGTGTTATAGATAAAGCACCCCAGTTAATAGCTATGTTCCTGTTAACACCTCAGGGAGTTTGGACTTCCAGCACAAATACCCCCTTTGATTTGTCGGTGTCATTTATGAGGCAGGTTGCCTCAGTGAAGCACAAAAACAAGGGAGAAATCAATCACAGTATGCTGCTGGCAGATCTCCTCCTCCTCCCCCTCCACTCCAATGGTACAGATACAGAAACATAACAGAGGAGATGCACAAAAAGCTCTCTGCTTCTTATCCTTTGCAGGGAAACACAGGTGAGAGATGAGGAATCGCTTTCAAATTTGCTTAAAAAGCATAGGACACTGCTTTTTACCAATCCAGGTATGCTCAATTTCCTTTACTTCTCATTTTGTTCTCAGAAAACTCTCCTTGACTTTTGGCACTTTCCACAGCGTGACCCACCAGCTTCCAAAAGGGAACCACAAAAGCTTCGGCACAGCCTGTCTGTGCTCACAGTGGGCAGGGTGGGCACCTCAGGGCCGTGCTGCTAGGGTGCACACTGCAGGTCTCTGTCAAACTTCTTCCCTGCTCAGTGCTGTAAAGAAGGGCAGGGAGACACAGTCCCACGCAGGGCTGCACGCTGGAGGGCTGGTGTCCATGAATCACAGAATCACTGAACAGTTTGGGTTGGAAGGGACCTCACAGCCCACGCTGCCCCAACCCCTGCCATGGGCAGGGCTGCCCCCCACCAGCTCAGGCTGCCCAGGGTCCCCATCCAACCTGGCCTTGAGCGCCTCCAGGGATGGGGCACCACAGCTTCTCTGGGCAGCTGTGCCAGCACCTCACCGCCCTCTGTGTAAAGAAATTATGAGTTATGGTGCCAATATTTGTCACTGGGGGAGTGGAGGAAATGATAATTCTATGAACCATAACTTTTGTGCTAGGAAAAAAAAAAAAAAAAAGAAAAAATTTACAACTCTGTGCTTCTGGCTCAGTATTGCACTTGATGTGCAGGTCCACCCCTATACTAGAGAAGCATTTAAGCAGAGCGGTATAAACATATGCTTGTATTTCACTAGCAGGAAATTTAAGTCAACGTCTATCTCCATAAAGTCAGTCCTCAAAGAATCAGGAACCAGATCGGCATTGTAATTGAACTAAAATAATCCTAAGCTTCCTCTAAAAGCACATAGCTTTAACCTGTCACATCAAATGAGAATTATGCACATAAACTATAATCTTTCTGTTCCCTTAGTCATCAGAGCGTAGATAAAGTGAAAAAGAAAAAAAAGCACAGATACAGCTCAGCTGCAAAGGAGGAGGTGGGGCACACAGAGAGGGACACTGTGTTTGAAAATGGAGTATTTCTGCTGCCAAATCAGATTCACCTGTGTGCAGCTCATAGCTGGACACTGGGGCTCAAAGAACTTGGCTTGATATCATCACCTCCTCCAACAGGTGCTGTGGATTGGAAGTGGTCCTCATAAGTGACAACATATATAATCACATGGGAAATCACTGAGTTGTAAGGCAGGCAGAGAGGAGGCTGAGCTGCAGTCACTCACCAAAAATGCTGTTGTTTGGGGTGGGGTTAGGTTCACTGTGCTTTCCTGTGGTGCTGGGTTCTTTTAACATTACAAATAATGTGAATAGGAGCTACATCCCTGGGCTATGCTGATAAAACGGGTGAAGGTGGAAGAGCTATGTCCTTGAGCTGTGCTGAAAAGAGCTGCAGGTGGGGGATCTGCAGGCTGCACACCTGGGTAGGTGCTGGGCGTCACAGTGGTGTTACCACCTGGTTGCACTGGGAGTGTCAAGGCTGTCCACTTCACAGGAAGTTGTATCCACCTGTCTTGTAGAAGCTTCCAGCATTTCATTACATTGAATCTACATGCAGATTTATTTCAGTTAGGAGGAGGAATTTTGTTGCAATTTCGGGGGCAACATTTATGTTATAGACATTAAAAGCTGTCATGTCATGTGAGGAAGGGTAGTACCAGAAGAGCCTATTTGTATAGTGTTAAAATGCTTTTTAGGTGTAGTTTCCACTTCTGCAGCTTACCAGGCTGCTCCTATGGTGGCACAGAATGAAGGTAAGGACAGTGATGGAGTCAGAGAGAGACACAACTGTGTGCTCCCTTGGCAGGGCTGGGGTCAGATTCTGTGCTATTCATCCACTGGAGACCAATGAAAACAAACATTTTTTTCATAGAACCCACGGAATTCTCTGGGCAGCTGTGCCAGCGCATCACTACCCTCTGAGTAAGGAATTTCCTCCTGAGATCTAACCTAATTTTCCCCCTTTCAGTTTAAAGCCATTCCCCCTTGTCTTATCACAATCAGACCATGGAAAAAGTCAGTTTCCCTCCTGTTTATACACTCCCTTCAAGTAATGGGAAGGCCACAATGAAATCTCCCTGCATCCTTCTCTTCTCCAGGCTAAACAAACCCAGCTGCCTTAGCCTGTCTTCTCAGCAGACTGAGCTCCAGCCTCCTGAGCATCTCTGTGCCCTCCTCTGGACCCTCTCCAACAGCTCTACTTCTTCTGCTGAGGGCCCAGGCCTGGACGCCGTGCTCCACGTGGGGCCTCATGAGGGCAGAGCAGAGACAAGCAATCCCCTCCCTCTCCCTGCTGCCCACCCTTCTTGTTGACGCAGCCCGGAACACAGTTGGACTTCTGAGCTGCAAGTGCACACTGCTGGCTCGTGTCCAGTTTTTCACCCACCAGAACCCCCCAAGTCCTTCTCTGCAGAGCTGCTGTCAAGGAGTTCTCCCAGTCTGTGAAGTGCATATTAAAGGGAGTTTGCAGAAAGAAAGACTCCCGTTCAAAAAACAGATGCACACCATTAGTATGACCCAGAAGGTTATACTTATTCAGTTGCTTCCTTTGTTTTACACAGCTGATTGGGCCAGAGAACCTCAGCTGCAGCACACCAGGGCACAAGAAGAAGCTACTTAACAAACAGCCAAGAGACAAAACAGTCAGACATGAAACTCTTTGACAAACGTGTTCTCATAAAAGTTTCCTTTGGAGGGAAAAATCTGAAGTTGCTGATAGCCACTCACGCTCTACATTCTGGAGTAAATGTAAGCTGTGAGAGGAGAAAAAACTATTTACTGTGAAAAGGCAAAAAATTGAACTGCTTCAGTAAGCCAGTAGCCCCTTTGAAAGCTGCTTTAATTTATCTTCACAATGGATATATTGTTCTTAATATTTGTTTTGCTTATGCATGCCTCATACTAGCATCCACACACTATGTGTAAGAAAGCAAGCTAGTAGTATGTGAATAGAGACATATTCAGAGGTACAAAGGTTAAAGGTTCTAATTTCTCTTAATACTTATTGCTAACAATTTTTGCTAGCTAAGCAAAACTATTGCTGTCTAATAATTTCAGTATGTCATGATGTCTTATAGCTTCTTGCAAAGAACTTTTGAGAGTCAAAATCTAACTCCAATGCCTTCTAGACTTGGCCTTTTACATGTGCAGTGGTCCTTGTTCAGAGGCAGTGCAGATGGATGGACTTGAACCTTTACTTTCACTCTGTACGAGACCTCCCATTTAATCTACCATCACCCCTTTCTTTGTTCTGTCTGCTCCACGACCAACTGCTGACAGAACCCAAAGCAGCTCACCAGCTGAGGACAGTCAAAGCTGTGCCTTTTGCTCATGTGTCCTTGGGTGGAATCTGACCATGGACATCACTCACAGCTGGTGCCTGCACTCAGCTTGTGTCTCACTCAGAGATACAGCCCATCTCTGACAAGAATTCCAGCATGATTTAAAGTCTCACTAACACAAAGACCTTTTCCTCCTACTGATAAGCAGCTATCCATCCAAAGCATGGAGCTTTTTTTGCCCTGTTTCTTGCTATGTTTTGTTGGCTGGGGACTTCATCCTGCTTTTTATCCCTCAATAAGCAGATATAGGCTGCAATTAAGGTGCCTCTTGATTTTCTTTTGAATAAGCTGCCCAATTTTTTTTTTTTTTTCTGCTGTTTTCATTTATAGTAGACAAGGACTGTATATGGTGAGCATCCAGCAGAACAGGAGGCTGCAAGGTCCTGGATGTGGTGCAGAGAATCGGCTTCTTTGTGACAGAACAAGAAGTAACAAATCTAAACTAAAAGGGGAGATTTAGATTAGATATTAGGAAAAAGAATGTTTCCTAGGAGGGTGGTGAGGCGCTGGCACAGCTGCCCAGAGAAGCTGTGGTGCCCCATCCCTGGAGGCACTCAAGGCCAGGTTGGATGGGGGCCCTGGGCAGCCTGAGCTGGTGGGGGGGCAGCCCTGCCCACGGCAGGGGTTGGTGCAGTGTGAATTTTGAGGTCCCTTCCAACCCAAACCTTTCTATGGTTCTGTGATTCTATGGCTTATTAGCCATAAGGTCTTGGGCTGTGTTTTTCTTCCCTTCTGGGCTTTTCCAGAGACACATCCAT